TCACATTGCTCCAAATATTCACACTCCGAAATTTTCAGTTACTAAGTAGAAAAAAATATGATAAGTTTTTGGACCATAACTCCTTCAATTTTCATGCTATCACAATTTATAAAAAAAAAACCATTATAAAGGTAATTAAGAGTTCTACAACATCCTTCATTGCAATATATAGTAAAAAACCTTTTTCTAAAGCAGTGAAGGGTTAAAGGGCTTAAGAGAAGCTGTGATTGCGCTGCCTCGCGCTCTTTAACAATCATATCTCCGTCAATTTTTGTTTGACAGAAAAAACAAAAAAACCAAATTGTTTGTCAGAAAAATACCTAAATTTTTAATTTGTACACTTTTTTACGTATCTGTCGTCATTTTTGAAATATTGTGAAAAGAAAGTGGGTTTTTTAAAAATTTGAAATTTTGCTTTTTTTTTAATCGTGACTTTTTTGAAAAATATGTGTCCTAAAGCAGCCAAACTGATACTATCTATCAAACTCTTCATAATAAAGTTAATTCTAGGCGGAATACGATTAATTTTTTGGTGGAAATGGCACTTATGAAACCCATTGATTTAAAAGAAAAAACATTAGATGCTCCCCTTATTTGCAATACAGCTCACTTATTTTACGTGCAAAAGACTTTTAGTGGTGCTCATTTTAAAGCTTATTTCAAGCACTACAAAACCCTTTTGTACTAGAATGCATAAAATGCATCTGCTCGCCGCTAGATGGCATTGACCACATCGATTAAATTTCAGACACAATAAATTTAATTTAATTTAATTTAATTTTTAATATCTAGCTTAATATTGCATTTAGAATACTTTATAAAAAACCAAATTGTTTATTGTTTTACCTGCTACAATTTTGGTTTTATAAAATTTTCGATAAAACGTATATTTTTGGAGGTATTTGCAAAAAACCGATGAAAAACGTGAAAAAATTGCGAGTTTTCAATTGCCAATAACTTTAAAAGTATTGGATTTTTTGAAAAGCTTTATAGATGATTTTTTGCTTAAATTAGGCCTTATATATTATATCCGAGTTTATTTTGAAAAAAAAAATCACCCCCGAGAAGGGGTGGCAACCACCCCCAGGATGGTTGCGGAGTTCAAATCATTTTCACTTTTGAAGTTAAGGGTAAGATGAACCTAATTCCAAAATTGTATGCAATTCGGTTCACAGTAAAAAAAATCGGAGCAATAATGCTTCAATGACTGCACTACATACAATTGTAACTAAGTGAGGAATGGTACCATTTTGTGGCTAAAAAGTACGGACTTTTTTCGAAATGTCAGGATTTTTAGGAGGACTTTTGAAATTCCTAAATGGTAACCCTAGTTGCATCTTTGAACAGCCATAAATTATATTATAAGAACCTTGCCAACGCGAAGCATTTGCTTAATAGCTTTGTCGTAGTCGGTTAAAAGGGTATATAGGCTTTATGAAACTACTACCTACTTAAGACGTAATGAGCAAAATGCAAAATTAAAAAATAAGATGCCTGAAACTAAAACTCTTAACTTCAGTACCTAATCTTAACTGAATTTTATGAACAGTCGACAGTAACATTTTTGATGAGAATTTGATATTTCCTAAAAAGACGTTATCTTAATTTTAATTAAATGCAACTATAATTTCGCTGTTTGAATCTGGGAAAACGATACCAACGAGATATATTTTTGATGTTTAACTTTGATAATAATAATTATTACTAATTATTAGTAGTTAATAGATACATGTGAATAAAAAAAACTTAAAAACTACTTTATGTTCAAAATTTACAATCCAAATAACCTCAAACTTCCTTAACTACTTGAATAATATATAATTTACAAAATAAAAAATATGTCGCCCCCAGCGCCGCGGTCAAGAATGGTGCTCTATAGACTGGCAGCCACTGCCGGATTTAGGGGAGGGCAACCGGGGCGAAAGCCCAGGGGCCTCCACAAACGGGGGGACCCCACAATAGACTTCGGAAAAAAAATCTTTCAAATTCCAACTAGTAAACATCTTTTCCTTTGATATTTTTTTTTGCTCTTTTACCTTTACCTACAGCCTACAGTACTTTGTACATCTAACATACATGATTATTTGATTATATTAATCTCAGGGCCGAATTAAAGGCAGGGCAGGTGGGGTTGTGGCCCAGGGGCCTCCACAACAGCTTAAGAAATAACAAAATTTCGATGGGTCAACAAGCATGCAAATCCTAAGTGGCCCGGGCCTCCACAATCCTAAATCCGGCCCTGCTTTCAGCACTGCCACGTTGGATGACAAGGCTGATCCGTGGAGCTTAATAAAGAACGAAGCTCATTTTGGGAGCTCACATGTGCCTATCAGCCATTTTCTTTCACCTTGCCTCACAAAGAAAGACAATGAAAGACTTGCTTCAATTTCAGGTACGTATTTCCTTTATTGATGAGCTCGATGGTGCAAGTGGTAAGCGCTTTCGGTCTGTGATAGTGGAAGTTAAACAACTTTCGCAATGGCCGGTGATTGGTCGGGTGAGCAAAACTTTTACTAATTCGAGCTTCACCGTGCCTAGGAAGGCACGTTAATCCGTTGGTTCCGGTTGCATCTGCAACCGTTAGCGCATCGACCAATCCACTAGGACCGCGTGCCCATAGCCCAATCTTCCTATTCCATAGAGGATACTCTTTTGTCCCAGGACTTTAATTTTTATTAATAAAAAAGTTGCAATTATAACTCTAATAACAAAATGAAATCGAAATCGCTTTCGATTTCATTTTGTTATTTCGGACTGCCATTTTTTATTTGCACGTTTTGCCCGCAAAGTGAACATATTGGCGAGAATAGTTTATGCAACTTTTTAACATATGGAACAGAGAGTGCTTTAAATACATTCTATTGACTAATAATAACTTCGCTAAGTATGTACACGTTTCCATGATTGTCTCAAAATAACACAGAATTAAATGTGAAAAAATTAAGCTTATTTTAAAATTGCTGATAAAGTTTTCACTATGTCATTTCATTGTTTTATTCTACTGTATTTTGGTAACAATTCGCCGAGCGCAATGTAATTAATTCACAGTTTACAATCGTGAGCAAATAAATCTTTTCGTTTAAATCATATTTGGCGATAAGATTAGTATACTGACCGTTATCGTGTTAGCAGCCATCTTTGACCGTGCGAACGTGCACACCTTAGCCCGACTCTGATGTTAAATGAAATTAATCAACTTTGCTTGAATTGCTCATAGAAAACATAGTGCTGGGCCTCGGTGAATCGATACTTCATAACATGAAGATATGGGACGATGAAACTATATGATAGACAAAGAATGGGCTGGACTGGTAGGTACCTATACTACCCTACAGGAGTAGTTTTTAAGAAGGCAGCAGTTTTGCTACTTATTTTATGAAAAGAAAAAGGGATCGGAATTCTACGCACCAAGCAACAAAAAGGTTCAAACATACGGACCCATATAGCTAACCTGCTTTTTTAGGTAGGTTAATAACCACTTTAAATTTATTCTGCTGCATAAATTCTGTTATGTATAGGGATAAAAAGTTGTTAACGGGTCTCCTGCCTCCGTGCAATCTTGTAAATAGAAACCACCGAAATATCCGTGCCCGTGAACACCTGCACAAGGTTAACAAGATGAAAGGAGAGGAGCCCACCAATCAAGGTGTATGTCACCAGGTCAGCCGCTCACAGTTCGATCATCGCTTTCTGCGCTTCTAAGCGTATCTCACTTACACCATAGCTGGACATTTTCCTCGAGCAAAATTCCTCGTTTCGTACGAATGGTACAGGTTTCCTATTTCAATCAGCAAGGCTAATGCTAATATCATTTGAGATCTTAGAGCATATGCTCTAAGATCTCAAATTGGTATATACCAATATTGGTATATGCTTTGTAGTTTGAGATAGAAAATCGTACCAGTTCAATAATATTTCATTAAATATTTGGTGTGATGCATAAAATTTATATTCCCACTTTTGTACGTGGACTTGAAATTTAGTATCGTAATAGAGGCTATATTGCTAGGTACTAAACTGGGTACTACATACTGTTTTATTATATTTTTTTCTAAGCCCGGGGCGGCATAAGCCGAATAATTCTACTATTAAAATTTCTTTGTTTATTTCTTTTAAATGGTGAAATTGAGGGGCTCTATTTTTGCTGTCCGAATGAAAAAAGTGACCGTAATATTAAAAAAATGATTCTAAACATTTTTTATGCTTATAAATAATGTATAATCTAACTGAGGCACGATAATAATTGTGACTTATTTAGGTAGAAATAGTAAAAAAAATCAAAGAACTAATATTTAACATCCCCTGGCACGTCCGCTTCATATTTTGTGGTCTAACTACCAGCGAAACACCAACTTTTTAACGGAAATTAAATATATTGATTTATGAAATAGCCTCATTTTAAATTAAACTAATACTTAATGTTTGAATTAGTTATATTTAGCACAATCGATAAAAACGTCTACTTTTTTGATTTCATGGGTTGAGTTTCACTGAATTGATCCCCTTGGTATTTCACCAAGGTAATCGACGTTTTCTAATTTGTTTAATGTTAACTCGTATTATTTCTAATAAATATACTTATTAACAAGTTTTTTAGCACATCGAGCTCAAAAGTATAAAATAAACTATCATACAAAGGGCATTGTGTGTTCGACAGCTATTTTTTTCTGTAGCTTTTAGTTATTTTAATATTATTTAAGGTTGATTAGTTTTATAGTATAAAAAAATCATACTTTTCACTATGATTTTTTTACCCTTCTTGCTGTCTTTTCTTGATTCACCAGTCGGACACAAGTGATCCCTATTCGATAAACATGCTAATAATAAAGGTAAATGTTATGTTTCCTTATTACTTGTAAAAAAGTATAAAAATAAATTGTGCCAAGGGAATCAACTGAATAATTCGAATCTCAAGATTTGCCCTAAATAGTTCGTCTTACCTGTATCGGAACATTTGTTATTAGAAGTGAAATATATAACAAAAGTATCGATAAACATACAATTGAAGATATTGTGCTTATCATTGTTCCCATATCGTTGACGTTTGAGTCGCTACGTGTCTCCGAATTAGCGCCAACACGAATGCCACATATTTTAACAGCCGTATCGGTACACCTGTTTTATAAAACAATATGCGGCAATATTATACCATAGGCAGGTTGGTACCTCACATAAGCAAATACAAACAATAAGAGCAGATAGCAGATTGATTGCACATACTAATACTAAAAATGTCATTTAGGCCTTATAAATAATTTAAAAAAAAACTTAAGATGGTGCAAATTAATCTTAAACCTACGAGTTTATAATTTAATTTAAAAAAAACTATATTATAGATGACTGTTTTTTTTTATAGGTATCTCTATATCATTTTGAGACAAGGTAGGGCAAAGCGGAATACCCGCTCGAATTGGAGCAACCGACAGGGGAAGCAAACCCACTCCATAAAGAAAATCCCAGTGAAAATAACGCTACGTACGTTTTTGACAGTGTTGTGTTTCTGTAGGTAAGTAGGTAGGGTTAGGGCAAAAGGTCAGAGTAGGTAATGCCTTGCACAAGTTAAAGGTACTTTGGAATCTAAGCGTCTAGCTGAAGTGCAAAGTTAAAAAGGCTGACTCTTTTAATGTCACTGTTTGTTTTTTTATTGTCGTCGGCTTTACGTTCTTTGTGTTTGTCTGCTTACAAACAGTCAGTAGTTAGAAAAAATATATGCGTAAGCCCTAAAGCGTACATTAAATATGTGTGGTGAAGGTGTAGTGTTGACTTTAGTGGTGTGTTATGTGTCGTTAGTAATTCTAGTGACTGCAAGTGTCGTGGTCGTTGTGTGTACCATGCATGTGTTTATATAGGCGCGTACAGTAGTGTGTCGTGTCCGCAGGGCTGGATTTAAGGCAGTGTAGGCAGGGGCCCAGGGGCCCCAACAAGATAACCACATGTCTAAATCCGGCCTTGCGTGTCCGTGTCAGGGAGCGAACTCTCTTTTTTACAGAGGTTTCCAAGTACCTACAGCCGCAAGTATCATAAATATAAAATACTTACATTGCGTGTACGCACAAATTCCATTAGTAATGCAGATATTTGGAAACGCGCCATGTATACACACAATACGACAATACTAGAAACAGACACAGACATTCTGGAATGACGCGATCGCACCGCGACACTCACGGAATCACGACACAGTGGGCTGAAAATTCGCCTTTCATAGGCTTAGACACTTGACGTTTTTAAGGGATTTTTTTTTGCTTGTAATGGATATTCTGCCTATCATTTCTATATTAGAAAATGTAGAGTGAGACAATTACGAGTAAAAATGAAAATTATATATTTTTTTTTAAGAAAAAAATGTACGAGATGTAAAATAAGGATAAACGAGTCGCAAGGTTGGCCATTTTGTGCGAAAGCCCACGACACTAAACCTAGTATGAAAAGACTCCTTGATGATTTGAATGTAATTCGACGCGAGGAGAAGACGAAATAAAGTTGCTGCAGTGTAAAAAACCTACTGGCGCTATTAAAAAATAAATTTTAAAAACTTATAGTAGTAGTATTTATTTATATACTTTGTTTTAGGAAGATTTACAGCTATCAATAACTTATTAAGTTAACAAAAACACTATCTCACAGCCAATTAAAAACCTCCACATATTAAACATGCTTAAATAAATAATTATCTAACAATCTTTCATCCTGCTATAATATGCTTACTCATATCTTAATATATATGATTCACCGGAATATAATCCATTCCGTAAGTTTATCAATCACCCAGTAAATTGATCAACTTTCGTAAGATAGTAAACGAGAGATAAAATGTATTATCTAACGGGAACATTTTCGTAAATTGATCATTTTACGACGTCTCGCAGTAAATTGATAAACTAACTTAAAATTTCAAGACCTATCAACGTAAAATTCTAAGTACCTACTGTGACCAATCCCAGTGTACAGAGTACTTTAAATTTACGTCATTTAAATTTACGTAAAATAATACACAGCTTTCTGATTCGTCGCCGTTAGCGACTTCGGTGCTTGCCGCCATAGACTTAGGTACGATCAGACATGTGCAAATATTTTCATACACAAGTGCCGTGCCCAGTAGCCCATAAGGATAAACTGTACTTCCAGGGCCCAAGCGGATACTAGGTTAGGTGTAGGTTAGTGTTATGATCAAAACACCAAAAAAAAACCTTCAAAGAGACTTTTCTACATAAAAAAATCAAGTATCACCTCTTGGGCCTTGTAAGTACAGTTATATCCTATAATACCCTCGTCACATTTTTTAATTTTTATTCGGTCCATTCCGACTTTTCACTGGTTTGGTCATGTTCACTATAAAACTTTTGTAGCTCTATGTAAAATTTTTGTTCATCAACTAACGTATTATGTTACAGCTAAGCTTGGTAAATTGATCAATTTACGAAAATGTTTTATCTCTCATTTACATTCTTACGAAAGTTAATCTAGGAATATATATACTAGGAATTTGATCAACTTACAGAATTTATTATATTCCGATGACATATACCTAGTCAGGTTATAATTCTGTCACATGTTTATTATAAAATAATTGAAACAAGTTTATTCATTATGTAACCATTTATATACCAAAATGAACTTAACAAAACATAGATTCTTATGACGATAAAGCTTATTCAAAATGACCTCCGTGATTTTGAATACAGGCCTTCAATCTGCTCGGCCAGTCGTCTATCGCAGTGCGAACGAGGTCCATGTCAATATCGGCGGCTGCCTTAATCAAGGATCTCTTGAGTGACTCCAAATTGGGATGAGGCTTTGAGCACGCCTTTTCCTCCAAGTGTTGCCATATCTTGTAATCTAAAGGACTCTTCTGGACTGGAAGAGGGCCAGTCTTCGTGCCGAATGAAGTCGATTTCACAGTCGATTTTCAGTCTTGTGTGCTCTTCGCTCTATGAGCGGGCGCCGAATCTTGTTGGAATACCCAGTGCCTGTTATTGAACATGGTATGAGAAACAGGTTCCACAAGGTTCGTCAGAACTGTGTTTTGATACACAACTGCCTTCGTTTTTACACCTTTCTCACAAAAATGTACCTCTGTTAAGTCCCAATAAGAAACTCCCAACCAAACCATGAGCGAGGATGGAAAATGACCTCGTTGGACACGCGGAATACGGTTGCTCGCTTATTCACTACTGTGTGCGTACACCTTATCATTTTGTTTATTGTAGCTCTCTTCTACGGTAAAAATTTTTTCATCCGAAAAAAGAATTTCCCGATATTTTTTTCCCGCGTACCGCTTCAACAAAGCGCGGCATCTCTTCAGTCTCAGGTCCATTAGACGAGCATTCAAACGATGTCCTGTTTTTCTTCGATATGCCTAAGTCTTCATTTAACACCCTTTTCACCGTAGTTCTGCTTAACCCCATCTGAAGGGCCAACAGTTTCTGCTTACGCTTGGGATTTCTTTGTATTCGCGCCTTCACAGCTTTTATCACTGCTGGAGTCCTAACAGACCGAGGGCGACCACTTCTTGGCCTGTCATCTACACACTACTTTTTTGTGGCCAGCATTCTAAAAGTGTATATAATATGCCGCCGGTGGCTATTTTTTGAATGAGAAAGTCATCGTGCGTCGAGCGACAATCGCTCGAAGCACGCACTCGATGCGTGTTGCAACAGGGCTATAAATAGGGCCAAAATATTTGCGGTGATGGTGGAGATGGGTGTGTCTGGTCATCTGGTCTTCTTGGTGCAGAATTTATACCTTACCGGCAAGAGCAGGGTGAGAATGGATGGTTATGTCTCCGACTGCTTTAAGCCAGCTCGTGGTGTACGTCAGAGATGCATACTCTCACCCCAGTTATTCAACCTATATAGTCGGTGAGCACATAATGCGCAGAGTACTCGAGGACTGGAAGGGTGGAATTCGAATAGGGGGTCAACTTATCAACAACTTATGTTTCGCCGATGACTACCTAATAGAGGACAATGAACGAGAATTGGCTCTCCTACTGCGCAAGGTTCTGGTTGGGGGGTTGGCGGGATTTCATCGAGTGCGGTTGGCGTCTTATTTTAGTTTGTTTGTTTGTTTGAACGCGCTAATCTCTGGAACTACTTTTCCGATTTGAATGATTCTTTCAGTGTTGGGTAGCTCATTTATCGAGGAAGGCTATAGGCTAAAATTAGGGATCCGTAATAAAATTGCTATTTTGTAACACAAGGTGTAAAATCGAAAACCTATTTTTGCGTGCGCTGCAAAAACTATTGACAATAGAACAAAATGATGTACTACGGGTTTGTAGATCTCATTGAGATCTACAAAAAAGTGCGCGACAACATATATCTAGCTATCATGGTTTAATCACAATAACCGATTTTGTGTTCAAAATAATTATTAAATCGTCTGAAGAAAAAAAAACTACGTTAAATATGTATCGTAATATTAATAACCTTTATCGAAATTAAGCATTATGTTATCAAGAGTATTTATGTAGAAGTAAAATATTTTTTGTTTCATCTCAATCGGATATTTCGTTTAAAAGTTATCACGTGTGTAAGATGTTAAGAGCTGGTACCTATTAATGAGTTATGGGCCATAGAGTTTTTTATCAACATAAAATCCTGTAATAATCTTTTTCGAAATATATTTGTTGATGATTGTAAGTATAAGATCTTTGAAGAGTATAAAATACATTTCTAAAATAATTTCTAAAATAACTCTGCTAAGGAAATCCACGCGCGCAAGCAAGACAAGACGCTGGCGGCCCGCAGTGGTCCGGATTTTTAAAATAGTGGACTTGGGATTAAAGTTGCAAATTTCAGCTATTAAAAAATTGTAATTAGTAGTAAATTAAATGCTGATTAATATTGTTTGATACTATTTTTCAAGAAAATGACTCCTTCATACTTTTAAAAAACATTTACGAAAAAAATGTATGGGAGAAAATCTATTTATTTTTTTCTTGGTAGGTTAGCAAAAGGTAGCAGTCAAACCTCATATAGTGGTTAGGGGCTATTGACCTTGACCCAACAACACCAAAATTTTGTGCGTTAACTTGCGGCCTTGGGGCCAGCAAAATTTTATTTTATTAAAAAGTTATTTATTTTCATACCTGTTCTTTCTCTACTTATTTTACGCGTTTTCAATTAAAAATATTTTTGAATGTCTTATTTAACAAAACAAATCTTAATGAGTTCCCAATTAGACATATTGCTGAAGTATTTTGTACTTAACAAATTATGTGTAGTTCAGTCAATGAAGGTTTTCATCTCCGATTTCGTTGAATCTCCATCGATTTTCATGAAAATTGGTGAGTAGGTGGGGGATACCTTAAGAAACAAAAGTGACATATTGCCAACTTGCGCTTTTGCCCTAGGGGTCGATGACAACCTTTCTCGGGGGTGAAAATTATTTTAATAAAAACAACTCCAGAAATCGATAGTGAAACAGATTTTAAGCAAAATTTGTTAATAAAGTTTTTAGAATAAATCAATATTTTCTGAGTTATTGAAGATCAAAGGTTGGTAGTTTTCGTGATAAAATAACATGTTTTAAAGCGGTTTTTCATAAAGAACTCAAAAAGTATGAGTTTTTACAAAAAAAGTATAATTACCAAAATTGAAGCTAGTAAAAAATCAAACAAACCCCTACTTTGAAAAACCTTCTAAAATTCATTCAAAGTGAGCTATAGGTTATTGTATGCACATTTTTTTCGGCGAGTACTTAAATTTAAGTATTCAAACCTAAATAACGGGAAACCGATGCATTTTATGACATATACTTACTGAACATTTGTTAAGGTCCTCAAAAATGCATTTCTAATGAGCACTGTAAAAAGTTAATAGCATCAAAATTGAGCAAGTTATGATAAAAATAAGATCACACCTTCGATTATTTTTGGAAAAAACCAAAAATAAAACCTTCACAATTTCCAAAAAAAAAACAAAGGACAATGGCAAAATATTTGTTGAAGTAAATCTTTAGCGTCTATAGATGTCATTATCAGAAATGTTAATAAAATAATCTCAAAAGATTTATTAAACAATTCAGGAGGGTTGTCTAAGTCTGGAATTAAAAACTTAAAAAAGGGAAACACAATTGACTATTTATTTTTTATTTTTGTTGTGGCTTGGCATCATGGCTTTTGAGCCATTTATTTTAAGTGATTTTAGTGATGAAATCAACTTTAAATATGATGTTCGTATGTTTTGCAGCGCTTTACGCTTAAACTGTATTTAATTTAGCTTTCAAAAATATCGGGAAACACTATTTTTCAATATTATACTGAAACCATAATAAATGGAGGATGCCATCTTGCGTCGGCAAGTAAACAACCGATCCGTATTAGTGAGCACTCAATAAATTAGTTAATTGCATATGAGTTAATAACTGTTAGCAATAACTTTTCTTCAGTATTTGATTCTAAACTAGAAACGTTATCCATCAAAACTGTGCAGTGGAAAATATAATATTACAAAAATCGTGAGGAACCTATGTGTAATAAAAACTGTAATGGAAAAACAATACAATAGTGCATAAACAAGTGATATAAGTGAGTTTAAATAACGATAAAATAAAAGGATTTCTGTTAAAACAAGTAATTATTAAATTAAATGTTTCATTAATTATAATAAAAAAAAACAA